TTGCAGTAATCTCACTGGCTCTGTAAACTGAGCAGTCGGTAATCCTGTGGATGTGTATAACTGAAGGACGCTCCTTTGCACTGCCAGAGGCTCCAGTTTGAGTTTCTGGTTTGGTAGCAGGGTAAAATATTTTCTGCACTCTGTAAATCCAACACACAAGTTCTGGCAATTCCTATGTTAAACAGGCTGGTTTTTATTGCAGTGTTTAGGGTGGTCATAGGAATATTCATATCAGGCAACAGTAGGTAGAAAACTGGAGAGCAAAAAGAGGTTAGCAAAAACATGTGAAAAAATGGAACAGAGGCATGAGGTAAATTATATCTGAAATTCAGGAGATAAACCAGTGCTCAAGAAGAGGGAAAATGAAGAGTAAAATAATTGAGTGACTTGGTTTCGTGTCTCCCATTTTTGTGAAAATCAAATGCCTTTCCTTCAAGGCAGTGTGATCTAGGGCTCTTCATTGTCACAGACTAGAGTTTGGGTACTGTATTAGCTGAACTCAGTTCTAGTGTCCTCATATAATGCTGTGTGAAAACACTTGGGGCTTGTGAAAGGCACTTCATTGCTATCTGGTGTAGTCTTTGTAACACTTGTGGAGAAACAAGGTACAGAAGAGATCTCTGGGTGGTTTCTGTATGAATTATAACCTGAGGCAGGAGGAAGGTTGCTGCAGCGCAGTAGCCGAATGCCATTTGGAGGCTTGCTGTGTCTTCCTGGTTAACATTGCAGATTTTTCTATTCTATTTTGTGTTGTATTCAACTTTCAAAAGGCAAGAATCTTTCTTTAATTTTCTTGATTCACAATAGAAGTTTAAAAACTAAAAGCAAACAATCACATATAGAAGGAAAAATGTAATTTTTCTGATGACTTTTGGTTTTTCTTGTATCAAGTCTTCCATATCAGAGTCACATTGCTAATAAAACAGCTATAGTACAGAAGTTTAAAATACGTACATGGTAAACTTTTACATCTGTAGAACTTTTGTTACAAAAGAAAAGGGATTTTCCATCTCTGCAGTCAATCAATCATTCAAGTTTCAAAAGCTGTTTTATCAACCCTCAGGTGCAGGGGAAGGTTTTGTTGTTTAATTTTTTTTAATGCTCTTTTTTAGCATTAAACTCAACTATTGTAACCAATGTACTATTAATTTTTTCCAGGTTTCGCTCAATGGTACACAGTTTACAGACAGTTCTGTTGGATCAGAGTTCACGGGTGTTTCTCAGGTATGTGCAGACAGATTTTGTGACTGTATGTGATAGCAGAATTATTTATTAAACAGTATTAAACATTCTAGAGAAAACTCTTCAAAATGATCTGTATCTCTGTTTGAGATTGGGACTCGGCTAACTGAAGTCAGGTTCTGAAGACTTCTCTATTCAAGCTTTAAGAAGCAGTGAAAGCTATTACTTCTAAAGTAAAATTTTATTGTTATAATAAGCTTGAAATTGGACATAGATGTAAAAAAAAATGTATGCAGTTTTATGGTAATAAAGTTATTCTTGGAAAGAAATCTAAATACATAGCAGAGATGCAGTTATTTCTGTTCTGACTTGTCCTACTTCCAGCTTTCATTTATGATGTTCTATCTGAATATGTTTCAGAGAGAAAGTGAGACTGGGTGTTTTCTTGCAGAGATGCATCACACATTTTTTTGAAGCTTGACTAGTGGAAAAATATCTTTCTTTTCTCAAAATGTGCACTTAGATTACACTGAAGAGACATACAGCTGTGTATGTGACCTAATTCCAAGCTCAGCTAATCCAGGGAGAGTTTACTGCTGATCACATGAACAGTCACTGCATTCATCATATTTTAAATAAATAAGAAACTTCAATTAATAGCTTGATTTTAGTATGAGAGAGCCATAATGGGAATCTGAGATAGGTATGGTCTTAGATTTTGTCAAGGTTCTAACTCTCAATTTTATTAGAAATAAATTGCTTAGAAATTTTCATTCTTAGCAGTTAATTTGCGTCGTGCTCTAGGAACCAAGTTCTTTCATTTGAACTTGAAATCTGTTTTAAATATGGGCCCAGCTGAGAGACTGTTAGGATTTTACTGAGTCTGTGAATTGGCCAGAGTGAAGATTGTTGTTCTTACTGTATTTGCCATGGCTTTTTTAATGATCATGATGCAACTTTAAGCAAATTACACAAGTGTTAACTACTAGAAGGCCTTGCAGCATGGCTGGGGCGTTTGCCATGACCCTTACCTTTTGCAAATGAATAAGTGTCAGGTTGTCTTAACTTCTGAAGAACTACTTTTTTGTCCTCTGCTTCTCCTACTTGTTGAAAGACGTCCTGCAGGTGATGATCGTACGGATTTGCCTGCAATAGCTATAAAGATGTCATTGCCTCTCCAACAGAGACTTACTCTGTCTTCAAAAAAAGATTTTAACAAGGAAACTTTTAGGCCTGAAAGGATGAGTAGCCATTAACTGCATTAATAAGATCTGCAGTTGAGCACAGGTCAGCCAAGAGGAATGTCTGGCTTGAGAAATCTGTTCGTGATTGTAGAGCCAATAAGGGGATGGTTCCAGCCTTTCAGGTGGCAGGGCAAGTCTTCCCTCGTGAGAGTGTTTTCTGAAAGCCTGCAGTAGACACCTGGAAAACGTGTTCTTTTTCTTGTTTTAGTACTTAGGTGTGAATTCCTGAAGTGGCATCAGTGAGTAAAGAGATTATTCTTACTAAAATTTCTCAGGAACTTCTAAAAGATAAGGTGATACTTGTGGAGATGAATTTAGTGTGTCTTTTTTTGGTGTCTAGCATTCCTGGTTTTTTTTTTTCCATATTGCTGAGTCTGTCAGTTTTATAAATCCAAAGAACAGAAATATCAGAGTTCGTAATGCTGTACTGTTTTCCTTCAGATGTCAGCAGTAGGGAATAGATTGTTGCTGTGAAGACAAGAAGAGAGTTAGTGAATTGTGTTATAGCTTGGACTAGTCCTTTGCCCTAAAGAGGTTTTCACCTGTGCTTGTGCAGTTCAGCCCTATGGGATCTTTAAGGCAGAATTTTTGTTAGTGTTGAGGTTGGAGCAGTATCTAGAGGAGTGCTTGAATGATTTGTTTACATTTTGCCTTTCCTTTTGAGAATAGTTTGTTTTGAGGCTTATGTAGGTGTTCCTAATTAGAGGCAGAGCTAGTAGCTGTGATGTAATCAGACAGATCTGTGATTCTGCCATTACAGGATGTTTTATTCCATTCGTTATAACTTTGCTTATGTCTTCTAAAGTTGGGTTCTGTTTAGCTTGTGGTGCTTGACATGTTTTTGAGTTTCAGTCTTGGTGAATAATCAGCATCTCATGGCTGAATCATAATTTCATTCACAGAGGCACCTTGGAAGAGAAAATAAGTTTTGAACTGCCCCTGTCCCCCGAAGTTACCAAGTCTACTTTATTCAATACTGACAGTGGATTTTAAGACCCTGCTGGTCGGTTTTGTTCAAACTGAGTTAACCTTTTATTTTGTAACAAGCTTGGCTGAAAGTGCCTTTGTTTCACTTAGTATTGAAGAAGGAGGTGACACAGAACTTCAAAGAGC